TCTTTTTTTTAACATTGCAAGATTTGTTCGAAGAGGCATGGCTTATCAAAATAATCCTCGGCACTACGTCCGAGGATTTAGATTCGCACTAGACAGATTAAGGGCTAACGATGTAAGTTTGTTAACGCAACATTCTCTAAATATGTGTCACCCATTGTATTAAAACTCTAACACTTATATTTTCTGTAACAGTTTATTTGGAGGCCATACCCAAGCTACCCCGAATGCGTCCTTCAAGATAGCCAGATTTGGAGCGCTACAACATCAATTATCAGTTTCCATATCGTTGAAATGCATCAGGCTGATAGGGTCAAATTGCAGTTTGGATTTCAACAAGATATCCCTCCTCAGCCTAGATGTCTACGTCAACAACATGAGACTGATATGCCTAATACATGGGGAGATCATTGGCGCAATATAAATAAAGAAGAAAATAACGAGTGGGGAAACAGAACAAATTTGACCCTACGAGGTAACATGGTTAACGGTAACTGTGTTCATAGTGCTGAATATATGCAATGGTTTTTATCCATTCCATTTATGCACGCTTCTCAAGGTCAGTTCCTAGAGGACCCCCGTCAGTATGCAACGTCTTCATCACAACAAAGATCCTCTTCGCCCATGCCTCAAGAAATGCCTCAGGTGAACCCTTCACAATTTGAAACACAAACATCTTCATTCAACCAGCCAACATTCTTTGCCGCCTCCTCTCAACAACCAACACAACCACAACCCCAACCAACATATCAACGCACTCATACTACATTCTTTGCCACCTCCTCTCAACAACCAACACCGTACACCCCAACCCCACAAACAAACTACTACTATCGACAACAATATCAGGAACAAGCCACATTTCAACCTTCTTTTCAATTCACTCCGATCCCTCAGCCTAATTTTGATTTCTCTTACCCCCAACCACAACACCAAACATTTAACCCTTCAATGTCTCATCCAAGTTCATTCGGTCGCACCGACAATGTTTATTACCCTCCCATCCAACAAAACCCTCCAACCACTTTCACCCAACCATTCCAGTCAGCCCCTAACTTTACCCTAACGGATGATCAACTCATGGAATGGCCAGGTTTTTCGGTTACTGATGTGGACATGCTTGATACATCACGTCAACCTGAAAATGAAGAGTTGACTTCCGACTCTACCCCATCACCTCCAATACGGCAAACTCAAGAGTTAGGCAGGGGGAAACGTGTGAAAAAGAGTACATTGTGTGGAACTGGCGGTCATTTGCGTAGATAAATATGATGTATTTTCTCCACTCATCAATATTAATAAAATATCTTTTTTTATTTTATCTAATTATTTAGTTAAACAATTAATTATATAATTTATTATTTTATATAATTATTTATCATTTTGTATATTAAAAAATATTAAAAAATAATTTGAAATAATTAAATTACTTATTAGGTAATATAAAATATCATTTAACTAATTTTAATATATAAAAAACAATTAATTAGATAATGTAAAAAACAATTATTAATATTTAATAATTAATTATATAATGTAAAAAACAATTATTAATATTTAATAATTAATTATATAATGTAAAATTTATATTATTTATATTAAATTATTTTTAAAATAATTAAATTATTTTTTATTATTATATAATATTATTTAAATCATTTAAATATATAAAAAACTATTAAAAACAAAAAAAAAATCATTTTAATTCTGAAATTAAAAAAAAAAAAAAAAGACCTAGAGCAGGGTCGGCCATCCATTGGCCGAACCCTTTCTGCGCCAAAATGCTCTTCATTGGGTCGTCCAATGGTTGGACGAACCCTTTCTGGGTTTGTGGCAATTGTGTAATTTTTTTTCAACTTGTGACAATTTGGTATATTTGATTTCAGGTAGTGGCATAGTGGTAAAAAATTCTATCTTATGCCTATTATTTTTTTCTTTTGGCCTTTCCAAAAAAAATTGTACATGTTGCATTCAACTTGTTCTCAATATTTGCTTTTTTTAAACAACATTAAGGTTGTGTATTCGCTCTTTATTTACTTAAAGCAGTTGGTTGCAGTTGACTTTTTAATATTTGATTCTTAGTGAAGGATTTTTGTTTAATTAATCTCTCAAGAAGAGAGTAACTTGGTCTCTATTTATATAGATAGATGACATGTTTATCACTTTATTTTAATAAGTGTTCTTTGTTTGCTTGATCTTTCTTGTGAGAATTTTTATAGTGTTTGAATTTTTTTATTGAATTTTTATTTATGCTTAATTGCTATTAGAGAATTTTACCCTGATTGACCTTTAACAAGGAGTTTCATTTGTACTCAAAAGAACTTTAGCTTGATTGACCTTTAACAAAAAGTTTCATTTATACTCAAATTTTATCGGAAAACTTCACTCATACTTACAACATAGATATTGCTCATTTAAATTCGTTAAATAGATTATATAAAATATTTTATATTATTTTATATTTTTAATTATTTAAACAATTTAATTATATTTTTTAAATATTCATATATCTCATAAAAAATTCTCATTAGACCCCATAATATATCTCACAAACTAATAATATTAATTTTTTAATCCAATTAAAATGAAGAAGAATGTTCTTTAATAAAAGAACGTTGACATGATCTATTAAAATCAGATATCAGTACATCTTGGCATTGTGTCCTAGGTAACAATGTAGGAACGATGAAAAGAACCTGATATTGATGCTCTTAGCTTTTGATCAACAACTCATCATAAAAAAACAATATATGGTGTTTTTTTTTCTCTGCCCAAACTCATGTCTTTCTTCTTTTAACTTATTTTTCTTTTGGTTGTTAGAAAGTTCTCTTGGTACGTCATTTTGGTAGGGTGATATAAGTTTTTCAAAATATTTAAGTAAATCATAAAACTTTTTCTAAAATTGCAGATTCATAATATTGGCTTTGGCCACATAAATACTTTAAAGTTATTCAAAAACATTGGTGGGTCCTTTGCTCTTTTAACCGGTTCTTTTTGGAATAGGTTTGGTGCTAAAGTCCCTTGTAGATTTATCCTCAAACAAATCATTATTGCACTTCCCACGTGGGAAGACAAGAAAAAGAAAACAATCAAATTATTGGAGAAAAATTATTGATAAAGTGACTTGGGATATTGATAATAATACATATTAATTGATGTCTAACATCAACAATCCGTTGTAGTCTAGTTGGTCAGGATACTCGGCTCTCACCCGAGAGACCCGGGTTCAAGTCCCGGCAACGGAATTTTTTTATTTTTAATTCTTTTAACTAACTGCTGACCTATGAAAAGCCCATTTAACAATTGGGCTTAAATTGATTCAACCCACTACTAACCGTTCGTATCGTGAGGAATCTCTTGCTTCTCTTCTCAGCAAAACTTGAAGTTCTTCTCTTTCGTTTTTCAGGTTTTTCTCTGAAACTCAAACACCACTTAGGTTCGTTCTCTTTCTCTCCACTAATGGAAATGCCATTTTCACTTAATTTACACTTTACTGAATCTCCTTCATTTTTTGATTGTTTTTTGTTAGATAAATTTGTTGTATTATTAGTCGTTGATGTTGGGTTTAAGCATCTAACACGGGAATAAAGTAAGTGTAGTAGATATGAGGATGTTGCGTTGGATGTGTGTGTAAGATTAGACATGATACAATTAGAAATGACGGTATTAGAGAGAGCCTTGGATATCACATATAGTAGAAAAAATGGTGGAAGCTAGACTTTGTGTGGTTTGGACATGTTGAGAGAAGACCTATAGATTTTGTGATAAGGAGAATAGATCAGATGGAGAGAAGTCAAGCAACTAGAGGTAGATCGTGAGATTAACGATTTGGATAAAAACATGGTCCTGAATAGAAGATTCTCCGGTTGGATAAGACTTGATTGTTATTGTAAACATGAAAAGAGTATTTTCTATTGCGGAGGGGGAACCCTTGAGGAGAGAGTATTTTCTATTGTGGAGGGGGAACCCTTGAGGAGAGAGTATTTTCTATTGTGGAGGGGGAACCCTTGAGGAGAGAGTATTCTCTTTTGTGAATGGGAAACCCTTGAAAAAAGATTCACTCCTATTCTATCCTAATTTTTGTAGAAGTGTTCTTTCTTTGGAATCCATTTCTTGGGTTTCTTACATTGGTCCGACACTGCCGGATATTCTAGAAGTATTAGTGTTTTTTGAAGATGGAGGCATCGCAAAGGGTGGATTTGCCAACTTTTACGCAAAAGACTCCATTGGGGTGGCTTGCAAGGGCTGTAAAAAATTTGAGGAGCAAGATATTCATGGGTTTTGGAGACTGCTTTAGTTTCGGTTTTGGGATCAAGAAAACCCAGATCCAACCTGGGAATCTTGGTTAAAGGGAAAAACAATAGAAGTGGTTAGCAGAAAATCAAGAAACAGAACCAGAATTGTGAAAAGCGACAAAAGCAAGAGATGAGGTTGTGTTACAGCCTTACATGTGATTGAAGCACCCAAGAAAGAAATCATGCCTTTGTTGAGGTTTTATTTTGATGCAACAGAGGGAATGATCGATATAGCTACAAGTGAGAGCCACAAAGAAACATTAACAGGAGGAATATGCAGCGAAGAAGTGGAGAAATTGGTAGACATCGGAGACGAAACAAGAAACGGGCAGTCATTGTATTCTTGGTGACATGGTGAAGAGTTGGGAGAAGGTTTATAATAATGGGACATTTTCAGAGTCTAAAGGAGCAGAATCACAGCTCTTCCTTGGTACTCCAAGAAATCTGATTCCACCACCTACGTGGGTTCTTACTGGATCCTTTCCTCCATAAGTAACTGACACCGAACCACATGTTGTGGCCACTCTAACAACCGATCTTTCGTTACCAAAGCATCAAGACCGGGATTTGCAAATGCCGGAAAATGCCAGGTTCAAACCACCTCCTTCAAAACTCCCGAACGTCAACATGGTTGCGGTGGCAAGAGCGACCACAATAACTCAAACTCAATAGCACACACACCCGCCAAGAAGCTATCAAGGTTGTGGGATGTATATCTTGCATGAAAGGTTTCAATTCAACCAAAGTCGTCGGGTCAAAGAAACAATAGAGAGTGGAATCACGAGAGAACTGCTCATGCAGAATTTTCCGTTGAAGGATTTTTCGTGGGGTGTGGCTCCTCCATTGCAACCAAAGTCGCCAGATGGTGATCCACCTTCGGCGGAATCAGAATCGTTGACTTGCAGTCAACATACCCCAGTCATGAGACCCTGGGAAGACAAGACAGCTTTCGCCTTCACGTGTGAAGTTCAGCCTCTGTTGAAGGAGGGATTGCAAAGCTGCCAACATAAGCCGTTTCTCTATAACTGTAGAAGCTTGAATGGGTGTTTCGTGGCGAGAGAGACAGCATTTTGAACTTGCCTCTGCCAACCAATCTAGTACTACTAAAATTAGTGAAGTCACAAATGCTTGGGAAGGAGGTGAAACCCAATCAACTGAAACTGAAGTTGATTCAACAAGTTTCCATTTTGTGGGATCCAGGTGGCAGCAATCATCACAATCAAAATGAGAGTATATTGCAAAACAATTCCAGCACTTGCTCCTTACTACATTGGTGGATACAGGTGACGCAATCTAAAGGGGAGCATGCTGCAAGAGATGGGCATTACTTCAGTTTTTACTAATATATCGACGGGAAAATGGAAGCCAATGCATGTTACCAAGTATTACACATTAAAAAAGAATACGGTAGATGTCAACTTTGAGGACAAGGTTGTTCAGAGAAGGGGTGTATTGTTATGATGTAGAATAGTGTTTCATTAGAGTAGTTAGAGCAATTATGAGTTGTTATGGAAGTTAGTTAGTTGGTTATTTGTGGTTGTTATAAGACTAATTGTATAAATAGGAGAATACAATGCAGAGTTGATCCTTATTGAATATTGTAAATGTGAATAGAGTACTCTCTATCGTGAAGGGTAAACCCTTGAGGAGAGAGAGTATCCTTAGTAAAAATGTTCTTTCTTTGTAATCTAATTCTTGGATTCCATTAGTTGGTGTTGATGTTCCTTTGGTGTATATGACTGTTTATGTCACATTAGTTGGTGCAGATCCATTTGAAGATCCAGAGCATCCTAGAAATTTGAGACTATTGAAAGAAATGTATTTGCGCGATTAACAGTACCACTAGTTACCACACATTGGAAGAAATGTATTTGGAGGATTGCAGTGTGGTTAATATGTAAAGTACTTGTACTAATATTTAGTATTTCTATGCAGTTCATGTTCGTCCTTGAAGTGATATAAAACAATCTCACAGAAGAAAATCATGTTAACGAATCATTCGAGATCTGTTAAACAAATTCTAAGCACCAAAGAAGCAGTTGGGGTTGCATCCCAGAATTCTAAGCACCAAAGAAGCAGTTGGGGTTGCATCCCAGCGAACTTTTGCAACTGGTAAAGCAAAGAAAGGATCTAAAGGAGGTGGAACTTCTGATGCACCCAAAGCATCAGCTCTTAGCAAAGAAGTCAAGATGAGTACAGTCGTAGGTGCCAACATTCTCAAGGGTGGAACAGATCCAAAAATCCTGCCTGCTGCAGACTACCCTGACTGGTTGTGTCCGCTGCTTGATAAACGCCCTGCGTTAAGTGAGTTACGTCGGAAGAATATCAAAACATTGATTTATGGAGATCTAAGACGCTATGTTAAGCTGGATAATCGTGCCAAGATCAAGGATAATAACTCTCTGAAGGCAAAGAACTGATTCAATAGTAACAAATAAATATAACCTTTTCTCTCTTTATCTTTCTTTCCACCCAGAAAGGTCAAACCAAAGAGGCCCCTAGAATGAGAAAGCACTAGTCATCCAGACAGGGGAGGAAAATAAACTATGTTATTCTCAGTATTGCGACACATTTGCTGTATTGTTTCTATGATATGTAAACTTTTTTTTTTGTTACATTGCTGATTTTCATTTTGTTAATGGTAGTTAAAATCTGTTAAGTTAGGAGGCTTATTTATCTGAGAAAACTTTTTATATGATTCATTGATCTTCATGTAATGAAGATTTTTTTGCAGACGTGGTCTCATGGTTTCTCATTATATATTTTTAAAAACAGCTTTCTTCCGAGGATTGTGCTAAGGTGACATATGTGAAATATGGTAACCCGAGCAAGCACAAAGTGTCCATATATTGATGTGAAAGTATTGGTGCACAAGGTTAAAAGAAGTAAGAAATAGAATGAGAAAACATTTGTTGTAGTCTGTAAATAACGGCTACAAAAATTGTAAGGAAGAATCTTTATTATATAAAATGGAACAACTTATGCAGCTTCTATGAAACCCTAATTTCCTCTCTTTTCTCTCATTTATGCTTCAACTATAATTTTAGTTATTAATTATTTATTTATATTTTAAATTTATTATTGATTTGCTGACATAGAGATTAGTATGAAACATTTAAAAGATTTTTACTAACTTCTCACATGTACAATACATTCTTTGTAAATCTAAAAAGTTACTTTAGGTATACATCCAATGCATAATGATTATCATTAGTCTTGAGCCTCTCAATAATAAATGCACAACCCCACATATCCATTATTCTTCATAAGCTATTATTATAAATAGTGGTTTCTATCAAACAAATACTCCTACATCACAAGTTTAAAAATAATATTGAAGTTAAGCTTATTATACTTAGTTGAGTTTAAGGATGTCTACAAAATGTGTCAAAAGTATTTTCGTTTGATGCTAATCAGTTTATATATTTTTATTTCATATATTTTTACTAATTGATTATTTCTTATAAAAAATGTTATGGTATATAAGTTGTTTTTTAATTTTTAATTTTTTTTATCACGTTCAAATGATTTTAAAATTTGTGTACTATATCATTTTTATGGTTATTAAATTATATATGTAGGAGGCAATTGAAGGTGGTGATTCAAACAAAGAGGAATTGACTACTGCAGGTTCTGGAAATACACCTACAAGCAAGACATTCGGAAAGAGGTTGTTTGAGAGTCCCAAATCAATTGATGTGAATGATATCAATGGTGGTGCTTCATCTATTGTCAAAGATTCTAAATGTGTAAAGTTTGAAAAATCTGATTGAGTGGCCTGTCTGTTGAAGAATATTTGTTGTGTCTTGCAGTTATTTTCTTTTTAATTTATCAGTTGTTGAACCAAGTTAATGCCAAATATGACATTTGTTTTAATGTTTTGATTTGTTTTACGAATATGAGAACTATGTTTGTGATAAACTTATAAGTTTAAATAGAAACATGGTTGGACCCGTAAAAACACACACAGATAAAAGCACATATTGGACACACAAATATTCTGAATGTTAAAAGATAAAATAATTAAATAATATTAATTGATATCACTAAATTGATAAAGTAATATCTATTTTATTTGAGTTTTCCTATCTAAAACTTACTCCCTGTGAAAAAAAAATTATTTTTTGTCTCTACTTATAAGAGAAAAATCTAAATATTTAAAATTTTTAATATAATAAATAATATCTATAATTTTAATTAGTTAAAGATTAAACTTAACTTTAAAGTATTATTACTAAAAAAAAATATAAAATAATTTGTTTTAAACCTTATACTTATTTAATAAAAGTATTTAGCTTTATATATTATTATTACTAAAAAAACAAAATAATTTGTTTAACCTTATACTTATTTAATAAAAGTATTTAGCTTTTATTTGGGTTTTCCTGCATAAATAAAGTATTAAATTATATCAATACTTGCACGTTTGTGCTACATTTCAAAATTATTAAAAATATAAATATAATAAATTATTAATAAATAATAATAACTATTAAAACAAATAAAAGTGATGAAAAAACAATCATTTAATGCATTGAATAGGGCCTATGGTTACACCCAATGCAAAGTTTTATATAATAAAGATAAAAATTTTCACTAACTTCTCAAATGTACAATACATTGTTGTAAATCTAAAAAGTTACTTTAGGTATACATCCAATTAGTCTTGAGCCTCTCAATTACTTTAGGTATCTAAAAAGTTACTTTAGGTATTATTAGTCTTGAGCCTCTCAATTAATAAATGCACAACCCCACATATTGAACACAAAAAGATTTTAAATATTAAAAGATAAAATGATTAAATAATATTAATTGATATGACTAATTGATAAAGTAATATCTATTTTATTTGGGTTTTTCTATTTAAAACTTACTCCTTGTGAGAATTTTTTTTTATTTTTTGTCCCTAATTATAAGAGAAAAATTTAAATATTTAAGATTTTTAATATAATAAATAATATTATAATAATATCTATAATTTTAATTAGTTAAAGATTAAACTTAACTTTAAAATATTATTACTAAAAAAACATAAAATAATTTTTTTAGACCTTATACTTATTTAATAAAAGTATTTAGCTTTATATATTATTATTACTAAAAAACAAAATAATTTGTTTTAAACCTTATACTTATTTAATAAAAGTATTTAGCTTTTATTTGGGTTTTCCTACATAAATAAAGTATTAAATTATATCAATACTTGCACGTTTGTGCTACATTTCAAAATTATTAAAAATATAAACATAATAAATTATTAATAAATAATAATCACTATTAAAACAAATAAAAGTGATGAAAAAATAATCATTTAATACATTGAATATGCCTACGTTTACTTAAGAAATAGCTATAATCATTTTGTCTGGATCCAATACATTCATGCATTGAATTTTCAGAATCTGAAAAGTTGCATTAACTTCTAACATATACAGTTAAAACAATTGAAATCATACTTTTTGATTAAAAAGTTACACTAACTTCTCGCGTATACATTCTTTGGTAATCTAAAAAATTGTATTAACTTCTAACATACACATCCAATGCATTTTGATATCATTAGTCTTGAGCCTCTAAATTAATAAATATAAACACTTATGCATTATTCTTCACATCCTATAACTATTATTATAAATAGGTGGTTGTTGTCAAACAAATACACATCACTTGATTCATATAATATCTCTTCCACAACCGAAAATATGTAAGCACAATCCTTCTCAAAGTTATAGCATGGCAGAAGGAACTGGAAGACATAATTCTTCCAAGAGAATTAGAACACACATAAAGAAGTCTTTCATAATGTTCAATAGTTAATTGTTTACTTATTTCTCGATATGTATGTCAGATCATTTATGATATTTAAAATTTTATAATTTAAAAGTTATTCAATATTTATTTATGTTTCAAAATTTTTTATTTTTTATTTTTTATATTAAAAACTATTTTAATGTCAATTATTTCAATAATTACATTATAGATATTATATAATATCTTATTATGTGAATAAAAAATAAAATATTATATATGACATATTAAAAAAATTCCGTGCATCGCACGTGTCAAAGACTAAT